CGTTCAGGGGAGCAGGCGGAGCAGAGGTGAGCTAGGGTGGGGGGGCACAGGAAGTAACGGGGGGGGGTAGAGGAACCACTCCCCGCTCCAGCTCACCTCCGCTCCAGCTCACCTCCGCTCCACCACCGCCGCCTCCCCTGAGCACCCCGCCGCTCAGCTTGTCCTCCCTCCCAGCCTTGCTGCATGAAGCAGCTGTTTCGCACGGGGCAAGCCTGGGAGGGAGGGGGGATAAGCGGAGTGGCGGCGGCGCGCTCAGGGGAGCAGGCGGAGCGGAGGCAAGCTGGGGCGGCGGGGGCACTTTTTCCCCATGCCCCGGAGTCGGCACCTATGATGGCCGGCGCCAGAATGCCGCCCCTAGAATTGTGCCGCCCCAAGCACCTGCTTGTTTTGCTGGTGTCTGGAGCTGGCCCTGGGAGAGGGGATGGGAGCCAGACCAGATCAGTAGAACAGGTCAGCCACCGATTCGCCGCTCGCCTCCTCAGCCCCCCTCCCCCGGCTCGCCGACTCACTCCCCACCACTGCCCGCCCGCTTGCCTACTCACCCCCCGCGGGCTGCACAGTGAGCCCACCTACTCAACCCCTGCGGGCTGCACAGTGAGCCCACGCGGGCCGCATGCGGCCCCTGGGCCGCATGTTGTGCAGGCCTGCCTTAGTGCATATGTGGCCTAAGCGTGTAAGGATGCCTTATTCTAAACACTGAAGAACTCAATATTTAAAGGACTAGTACATATGTTAATTCAGGGCTTTATCAGGTAACAAATTTCCCATTCAGGCTTTTTTAATGTTTTAATTTTATTTATTAGAAGAAATATTTCTGGTGTCGAACAAGTGCCCTTTCTCTCTTCCACTCCTCTACCAGAAGAGCACTCTTCTCCAGTAATCAAATTGAACCCCAGGCTTGTGTGCAGCACTCATACAGGCTAGATTTGCGTTACAGTGGAAAACTATAGACTTCGTGTATTCACATTTCTGTGTACTCACATATTTTATTTCAGAGAGCAGGATCTTTCTCCCATGTTGCACCTCTTAGCTGGTGTCTTTGAGACTCTGTTTATCATAGGATATAATTGGTATACATGGCCCTTTTAAATGCCTATTGCAGCTGATAAGTGAGGATTCTAGGGTACATCAGAAATCCAAAGGCTGCTGTTGCAACTTGGAAAATAGGAGGGAAACACTGTCAGCCTCAGATTTATGTATATATGTGTAGTTTAAATCAGGAAATGGATTAGATATCATTAGATATTTTCATTGTAGGTGTAAATTACACTTTTACCAAGAGCACTTAGCATTGACTACTGAGTTGTGAATGTCCCACAACTGCAGGCGACATAAATTTGAATATTTTAATTCACAAATTTAATCGCTTTTCACCAAGTTGTAAATGGTAATGAATACAGTTTTTCTACCAATAGGAATTATTGCCTTTTATCCATGTTTCCAAATATTTCATTATTTCTTACTAAAATATTCTGCTCTCTTACATTGTATATTATAGTTACTTCTATTTCCTTTTTATGGCTAGAAATGTGAAGCAGAAACCCTTAAAATCTCAGGCAAAAATTGAATCTGAGCAGGAAGATTCTTCTACCCAACCTACCTCTAGCAGAGCAGCATGTGTTACAAGCCATAAAATAAATGCTAGCACCTATGCCCACAGTTCTTCTGGCGAATCTTCTGATTCTGCTTGCATATCATCACGTGAAAGAAATGGAAAAGCTAGAACTACACCCTTAACAAATCATACTGCATTGTCATCAGGTGAGAAACAAAATCTGTTTTAAAAGCTGTATTTGCTTATATATTAAACTTGAGCTATAAAATGTTTGCTAATTATTTTTTTTGCCTTTGTAGGCAAAGTAACCATAATTCCCATAAAGTCTAGCTAAATAACTCTTAAAAATACAAACCTTTTTAAAATGCCTTCTGTAGGAAAACCTTGTCTCTGATAACTATGAATGTTTTGTAATAACATCTTGTGTTTTCATGCTGTTTGCATGTTAAGTATAGAATTCTTCTGTTTTAAAGTTGTATAGAACCCAATACATTTCTTTAGTTTCAGCTTTTATTAGTGAAAAGCCTGCAGTAGAGGAAACTTATAAGTAAAAATATATTTATAATCAAAGAAGCAGACTTGTACACCATCTTTCAATCCTGTTGGATAGTCTGTGTGCCTGTACTCCGTTTCATCTGAGGAGTCATCACAGAGCTAAATGGCTTGTTGAGGGGTGAGAAGGGAGAAAAATGGTCCTGTCATCCTCATTTGCTGCTTTAAAAATCTGCTAAATGTGAAAATGGAACCTTGAAATCTCAAACAGTCTTAGCAAACAGTGCTTGTGATGAACACTTTGAACTTGCCGTATCAGTACATTTAACACATAAATATGACTTATATTTAACATTGCGTGTGTGTATTGCGCACAAAACACTATGCAAAAAGAATATTAAGATTTCAAAGTTACGCACTCAGATGAAAGGAAGTGCCGGAATTAATGTTGCCTATGCAACAAACACACGAAGACTACCCCGTCTCATATCACATTCTTATTCCAAAGCATAAGGGTGCTAAACTCTTAAAGAAGCCACCACTATTTTATTAACATTGCAAAGCCTTCCTTGAAAATAGCTGAACATTTTTAGCTGAACCTTTTAAAAAAAAAAAAACAGAGAAAATGCCACCAGATAATGCAGCATGAAAAAATTCAGCCCTCGTAAAGTTTGGCAAAGTTATGAGCAACTGAAAACAGTCTCACAATGGAAAATGTAAGGCAGCTATCACTATAGGTGGCACTGGTATAATGTATGCCTTCCTGTCCTTGTCTTTAAATAATACACTGTGAAGCTAATTATATGGAAGCGATATGTGTAAGAAACATTCTGTAAAGTGTAAAACAGCAAATTACACCTACTAATTAATTTTCAAGGTCATTAACTTGCTGTGTTCCTGCTTAGAATTCTAAATTCTTTTTTTTTTGTTTTTAAACCAGAAAGTGAAATAGAAGGCTCTTCAGCTTCTTCCTCTGCCTCCTCATCAGGATCTTCTTCCTCTTCTTCGTCAAGTAGCTCAGAGGAAAGTAAAGAGAGCTCTATGGCTCTTGCATCCCCAGTATTACACAATGGTATATCCAGAGCAAAGAACAGCAGCTTTAGGGTAACCAGAAATAGAGCAGCTCAAAGAAAGCAAATGGGTAAGATTCAATCAGCATTTTCTGTGAATGGCCAATAACATAAGAAAATGCATATTCAGTGGTAAATATACGTGGTGCAATTAAGTTCATGTTAATAACACTTTGAAAAGTTAAAACTGTATGTTAACGTCTGGAATACATGACTGAGGCTAGCATAGTTGCATGGCACTTGTACCGATACTGTTGCTGTAAGAGTTAAGACTTTTCTCAGAATCTTACGGTTTCCTCTGGTGAAACAATTAACATTAGCATTGAAGGAATCCTTACTGAAGGAAGTTACTAGTAAGGCAAAGAGATAGTCAAACAGTGAGGATGAAGATTTTGCAACTCCCTTGTTTTTAATTATAAAAAAGAAATTGAATACAACTGATACTAGTAATGGTTTAAATACAAATAAAGCAAGCTTCAAGACACGGTGAATGCTCACCTTTTAGATTTGTGAAGAATGAGAGTGTTACCTTTATTTTCTAGTTAAATAAAATGTTCCATGTAAGTTGCAGCTACTACTACATTTGTACTTCAATTCAGTTTGTGCCTATGAGTTGAACTTGTTTGACTTTACAGGAAATTTAATTTAACATAAATGGGTGTCCTTATATTTAAAATTGACAGCAATTCTATATTTTACAGGATCAGATTCTCAGGAGAATGGAAATATCAGAAAAACTGCCAGGAAAAGGCTATATAGAAGTGACTCTGAAAATACTTCAGCAGTGGCTTGTGAATCGTTGAGTAACAAAACTGGTAGACATAGAAAAATTCCACGCAGAAGTGCTACTGTGGCTGCTAATAAATTAAGGCTGATGAGTGATGTGGAGGAAGAGATCTCCAGTTCAGAAAGTGTTGGCATTGCAAGCAAGAACAGAAAACTGCCCCACCGCAATGCTTCTGCTGCAGCCAGGAAACTGCTATTGGACGGTTCTGATGATGAGACAGGTTTAAAGTCTGAAAGTGAAAAAGAAGTAAAAGAACAGTATGCGAGGAAGAAAAAACTTTCTCAGCCTGGTTCATCTGCTGCTAGAAGAAAATATATTAGTGAATCTGAAGTTGGAAGTTCAGATTCTGAAACTGATACAAGAATGGCACACAAAAATAGGCAAAGCAATAGCAAAAAACCACCACAGAGGACGGTCTGTGCTTCATCTCCTAAAATTAAAAATCCCACAGTAGAATTTTCAGAGGACGACTCCAAAAACCATAAGTCAGAGGATGGGAGCAGTCAGAAAGTGTCCAGCCAGTCAACTTCTACACACAAACAGCATGCAGTGAGCAACTCTGAGGATGAGGAAGATTCTGAGTCAGGCAGGTGGAATGGTAGAAAAATCAAGAAGGTGACAAGTCAAAAGCCTGCAACTCCTTTCAAAAAAGCAAAAGTCTTGAGTGACTTAGAGGACACAGCAGAGTCTGAAACAGAAGTGAAGGAGAATGGAAGAAGTTCTGTGTCAGAGAGCATGGAAACTTCTGGGACTCCAGGGAGCTCAAAATCTGGACCTGATGCTAGTTTCAATTGCTCTTCTAATTTAGCATCTGAAACTGATACCAATAATAGTAACTATAGTGATGCCATAAACAAAAAAAGGAGGAAAAGGGAAGTCACTAAAAAAGGTATGTTTAAAAACTTAATGTATCTAAATCTGATATTGACTAAATTAAAATGTAGGATTGGTGGTTATTAGGAAGATTTGGACTCCACAAAATGAGTTCCTTGACATTCTGAAGGAAGCTTGTGTAGGAATATTGTAAAGTGTGACAAAGATAGAAGTATAAAGGTGTATGCTGTTAAAATTGGGCAGTGGTCAATTTAATTTTTCAGAGGAAAATTATTTCCCTTCCTCATGGCACTAGATCTCTTGATGAATGGTGAGTGTTTGTCTAACTATTCTGGAAGTATATTTATATGAAACTATTAATGCAACTATACTATTATAGTGTTCATTTTTAACTTGTATTTTCTGTCCACATTGCAATATTTAGCACAGATGACAAAATATGCTTCATTTGTGGAACATATTTAAGTCTGAATTTCATCCAGTAAGTTTACAAATGGTTTCACTGGGGACAGTTCACTAGTAGAATATGGAGTGTTATGGGTGACTGAGATATTGCCTTTGATAACCTGTGCATTCAAGAATCGATAAATATGTGTGTTCAAGATTGTTCTTGAATGTCCTCATGATAACTGTAGCTGGAGTATATAGCACACGGCCACTGTTACCGTTACCTGAGTGTTTCCTTTCTGAAAGACCATTTTCGTTTCTTACAACCTGGTGAAATTTTCACTTTTCAGGCTGGTTTCTACCTGAGAGTGGTCCTGTTTTTATAAATGTGAGAAAAGGCATTTCTGCAGTTTTTGAGAATAAGTAGAGTGGAGGTGGGAAAATGCTTCCCCTATTCTTTTAACAAATATATAGATGGATGGATAGATTTAAAAACAAATTACAGGGTCCTGTTTTTAAACAGCTCCAGTTTTTTTGGGAAGAAAGTAGAAATTTTGCATGGCTATAGGGCAGTGTTTCTCACCCTTTTTGATACCAGGGACGCTGCCTTCCTAAACTCTGTCAGGGAAGTCTCAAGGATCAGCACCAGTCCATGGACTGGTCATTGAGAAACACTGATATAGGGTAACATTTTCAAAAGCACTTCAGTGACCTAAAAACTTTCTCAGTTAGATGCTTTTCACAATGTTACCCGTGGGCCTTATATTGGAGGTGTACTTTAAAGTAAGTGTTCTGATTAGCTCAGATTATCACAATTTTTTTTAAATGTGCAGGCATTGTACATTTTTAATAACAATACTTTTTAAAAATAACTCCTGGAAATATAAAGTAAAAGGGCTGTTAATGCATTCACATAAAATTTTGAATAGAAATAAGTAATATGATGCCCCTCTATGTCATCTTAGGTATTTAATAAGGTTTCTGTGGTTTCCAGAGAAGCCCTGCTTCATTCAGTGAGATGTTCAAAAGTTTTTGCAAACCCCGTATCGGGGCTTGTCTACACACAATTTCTGCCTCAATTTAAATTAAATTTATAATTGTAAGCAAAACACATTTACATCAATATGAGTGTGTTCACACTAGGGAGTTGCATCAATTCAAGTAAGTTTGTTTTTAAACTGATTTATGTAAATTGGCGCACAAACTCTGTAGACCAGCTCTCACATTAGGCATTTTTGCGCAGTCTGGCCAAGTTGTGTATCTAGGCGTATAATGAAAGTAATATTTGAATTATTTCCTTTTTCTAGCATATTTCCTAAGGAAAACATAAGATAAGAGAATTTAAAGATTGCAAAGTAAAGCGCTCAAGTCAAGAAATGTCATGTTTTTATATTTGCCTCTGGAAAAATAATTTAAACTTTATGATCACCAGGGATTTTAGAAATCCTTTTGCCACAGGAAAAACATGAAATTTGTGTTTTTACAGAGAATCTTTAGTTTTTACATTTTGTGAAAAAATAAAAACATATGTACAGTAGAATCCCATTTATGTGAGCCTCCATTGTCCGGCTCTCCATATTAACTGAACTGGTGCTGTTGGTTGTCAGCCCCAGGCAGTGGGGCTCGCAGCTGAAGCTCTTTGCCCAGTCTCTGGGTTATCCGAATTTTAGATTCTGATCTGGCCCTGGCCCCAATTAGATCGGATAAATGGGATTCCACTGTATATTGTGGCTAGGGAAAAAGTTCAGCGTTTCATTTTACTCATTGAAAAACACAGATTTTTGGTTTTTTATCACGGAAAACTAGGATCCCTGATGATCCCTTACTATTATTTCCATAGATTTCCTTCAGGTTCCTGTATTCTAGCTCAAATTGTGTTTGCAGTTACAGTGATGTAAATTAGGAGTAAATCAGCTGAAATCAATTAACTCTACTCTGAATTTACATTAATATATGTATAAATGAATTTGAATACAATAATATTTGGCCCTCAATATGCATGTTGGATTTGTGTACAGCAGCAAGTGAGGCAGAGATGTGTACTCATTTGACTGAGCAAAACTCATTAAATATTTGTATTTTTAAATTAAATTAAATGTATTTGCATAGAGAAAATCTTTTTTGTTGACAGCTAGCATTTTATATTGTGTACACTATTACTTTTTTGCTTCTAACAAGTAAATTTATAAATAAATGTTGAATCCCTACCTGATCCACTGCAGACTCTACCTGCTCACTAAATGAAGATGGGGGCCCTGTGAAAAAAGGTAACCTTTATTTTGGCGTGTCCTGACTGCGTGCTTCATAGGCAGCCTTAATGTTGCTTTAACTTACATTTTCTATAAAATTTAGTCAGACCCTGATGTCAGCTAGCATTTCCTAACTAATCATACAGTATCTTTTGTAAATGTAAAATAATTATTGCTACAAAAATGACTTAATCATCTGGGTTTTTTTAAAACACTGAAATATTTCCTTTGCTTATAGGTTTGGTAAAAGCATATATTTGCAAAACAAAGATTGGGCTGAAGTTGACCAGATATAGTGTCCCTTTATCATTACATCTTCCTCGCCAAATCTGAATTAGGCATTTTGTGAATTTTTTGGATTAAATAAAACAAGTTTTTGGCGTTCCAGAATACTAGTAGTATAGAATTTTTTTCTACTTTTTAGATTCATTTCTTAATTCCTTTGTTTTAATTTTGGGGCTTTTATTTAACAGACTTAATACAGTGGTCACCCACAGCTTTCTGTTGCCACAGATGTCATGGTAATTTTTTAGGGCTCTGATCCATTCTGATGGTTTTGCATCACTCTGGGTCAAAGCAAGTATAAAACCAGCTTACCAAAGTTAGTAAAAGGACTACCCTTATCTCAGCACATATCCAGGTGACCTAAAACTGTTGTAGCACCACCTACGCAGCCACAGCACAGAACATGTCAGAGGGAAAGGTACATATCCAGGATATGCTCCAGCAATTCCTAGCTATTGGACAAGCATTTGGAGCCATGGAGAGCCAGGAATAAGAAGAGCAGCCTGGAGTTGTGCTCACGCACTAGGGACTGATGGCCCAAGGATTAGGGGAATGCAAAGGTGTTTGAAAGCCATCTTTGAATGGCCCTTGTCCCATATCTGGTCTTGTGCCAAGAAACAGATCAACCAAACTGCAACAAAACAAATAAACAAAAAATATTTTTTCTTGCAGGTGCATTCTTAAAATGGGGATGAGGAGATGGATTTCTCAGGGCATGTAATTCAGAGATCATAAAAATCATAGGTGGAATGATAATATAGTTGGCCAAAACCCTAATTGCGCTCTACTGAATATAACATGTAATATGTTTGAATTGCCCTTGCTATTATAAAATAAAAATACAGATGTTTTAATCACCTTTTTTAAACACACAATGTGAGCTGTTCTCCAGTACTATTTGGGTTTGTACATTGTTAGTACTATAATATAAATTGCTCTTGTTCTGTTTTAAAATATTTGTCATAAATTTGTCATTTATTTATTTTTTAATTTAACCAATATTTAAATCATTTTTATTTTTTATATTATAGGGTCTTTCTCTCAAGAGAATGGACATAGCAGAAGAGCTACCAGGAAAAGGTTATATGGGAGTGACTCAGAATATTCAAAGGGGGTTTACAAAATAGTGAATGACAAAGATGATGGTCGCAGAAGAATTCCACGCAGAAGTGCTACTGTGGCTGCCAGTAAATTAAGACTAATGAGTGATGTGGAGGAAGAGATCTCCAGCTCAGAAAGTATTGGCATTGGAAGCAAGAACAGAAAACTGCCCCACCGCAGTGCCTCTGCTGCAGCCAGGAAATTGTTATTGGATGGCTTTGAAGATGACACAGGTTTAAAATCTGAAAGTGAAAAAGAACAAAAAGAACAGTATATTAAGCGGAAAATGCTTTCGCAGGCTGGTTCATCTGCTAGAAGAAAATATATTAGTGAATCTGAAGATAAAAGTTCAGATTCTGAAATAGGTGTAAAAATGGCACCAAAAAATAGGCAAAGCAATGGCCATAAACAACCACACAGGACAGTCTGTACTGCATCTCCTAAAATTAAAAATCCCACAGTAGAATTCTCAGAGGAGGACTCCAAAAGCCATAAGTCAGGGGATGGGAGCAGTCAAAAGGTGTCTGATCAGTCAACTTCTGCACACACACAGCATGCCGTGAGCAACTCTGAGGATGAGGCAGATTCTTTGTCAGGCAGGTGGAATGGTAGAAGAATTAAGAAGATGACCAGTCAAAAGTCTGCAACTCTTTTCAAGAAAGCAAAAGCCTTGAGTGATTTGAAAAACAGAGCAGAGTCTGAAACCGAAGTGAGGGAGAATGGAAGACGGTCTGTGTCAGAGAGAACAGGACCTTCTGGAACTGCAGGGAGCTCAAAATCTGGACCTGATGCCAGTTTCAATTGCTCTTCTAATTTAGAATTTGATACTGATTCCAATAGCAGTAACTATAGCAATGCCACAAACACAAAAAAAAGGAAAAGGAAAGGAAAAACAAAAGTCATTAGAAAAGGTAATTTTAAAGCTAATGCATCTAAATCTATGATATTGTCTAGACAGAGGAAACGACGTAGGATTAATATGGATGATAATGACTGGGAGGATTTGGACTATACAAAATATAAAAGAGCTCCTCAACGCTCTAAAATCAAAACTAGAAATCAGGGTAGAAAGACTGTAAGGTATGATGATAGAGGTCTAGACAGTGTGCTCGAACTGAGAGATTACAGAACATAATGGAGGGAAATCTATTCCACTTTTGTGGTAATATCATTAGAATTCATGATGAATGATGGCTGTTCTTTGTCATGAGATTCAGGGAAAACATTTATATTTTTCTGTGAAAAACATAATCCTGTGACTGTCCTTGTCATATTTCAGATTGCATTTGCTGGTCCACGTAGCAATATGTAGCAACTGATACCAAAATGTTTCATTTTGGGGCAGTATTTCAGTCTGGACTGGAATGTTACTGCTCGGAATAACAGTTTTCAAAACCAGTTGAACACTGACCTATATGTTGCTAGCACAATATTGACCATTACTTTAATCGGTGCTGTGTGAGAAAATTGCCTATGACGTACAGTTTTAGAGATTTCAAAATCTCGAAGTGGACTGTTCTAGCACCGGTTCCTTGTTCTAGAGACTTTATAAAACTAGGTTACTGTTACATGATCAGTATTATAATTAGTCCTGTTGATCTTGACATTATGAGTAAAGTAACAGTTCCTTTACAAAGTAGATAACTATTTTTATTTTTCCAAATTATTATTTGCTTTATTAATGCAGTTGAATACAGAAGAGCCATTAATTTAAATTTAAATAATTTTTATTATTTGACTGAAAGGTGTTATTTTTTTAATACAGTGTTGCTTCCATGAGGTAAATTGGAATCTGCAAAATTATTTATTTTAATTTTTGTTTTGATGGCAGTGTTTTGCCACCTTTTTTTAAAGGTGAAAACGTGTGTCCAGGATAGAGATATTCTGGTATTTATTTGATGTCTGCATGCACTCCTTTTTCTTATTACTGGTTTAATTTTTTAAGAAGATAAAGCTTTTTGTCCAACAGTTACAGTGATGTCCCCTATATCTCTGTTTCTCCAAATTTCATGGGATATTCTGGTTTTTCATGTTTTTAACCGAAGTGTTAAGTCACGCTTATGGTTCTTCACAGAGATTTTCTTATATGCAGCATCTCATTGGCAGACGGTTGATAATGAATAGCCCAAAGTTATGGTCTCAGAGAAATGTTCATTAGCCTAATTTTGCTTCTGCAGTTTCAACCTATTCTGAAGTGTTTATTCTTCTCCATTTCTCATTCTTTCATATGCACTTCCATGTGCTAATTGAGATGTAATTCCAGTTTGGGAATTTTCTTTGACAACTCAGCTCATCAGAATGACTTTGGGATTCACTGGGCCATATCTAGTGTGTCACTACAACTTCCTCTTTTAGGAGATTGGTTCTTGTTTCATAGTTTAGCCAACTTTAAAGACTCTTTACACTCTGCATATTCTCTTTTCGTGACTACTGTATTCCAAAGATGTCAGGGAGATAGACACACTAGTCCCAAAAACTGTTCTAACTACTTTAAATCCCCCCCTCCCCCTGCAACCTCCCAAAAAAAGATTGCAAAAAGTAACTATCAGAAAGAACATCCCATGCAGACCTTATTTTAGAGAATTCCCATAAATATTGCAACAGAAGCAATTGGGCGAGTAGGTTTTTTGTTGTTGTTGGGTTTTTTTTTTTTTTTTTTTCCTACTTGCTCATTGTAAGTGGGAGGCATCTATACCATCCTCATAGGGACTACAACTAGTTCTAGGCCTTTGAGAATTCTCATGACTTGTAATCCCCAGTAAAAGGGATTGAATCTAGCATATGGAGTTGTAGTGCATGGAACTTATATACATATTTTTCTAAAAAATATAATATCATCCCTCTTTCATCTCCTTTTTGCGGACTGCTTTTTTTAACTATACTGCAGAAGGACCAGTCTTTTCCCTGGAGAGGTCTGCCCTTTGTGAAGCCAGAACATATGTAGCTTTACTCATGGTTAGCACCCTACATATATTTTCAACTTCATATAGCAATCAGTAGGTTGAATGGGGGGATGAGGGGGAATTGAGGCATGTCTTTACAGTAACTCTAAGATCCTGGATGAAATAATACTGTAGCTAGCAATGGTCAATAATTCACCAGATATTAAACTGAATAAAGGACAAGTAAGAATTTAATATTTTATATTCATATTTTGTTAGACTATATTGTACCTTTGCATAAATTATATCTTAGTCCTGCAGTTCTCTTCCCCCTTTTTCTAGTCTCAAAATTGTTATTGAATTTAAAGTAACATGCCATGTACTACTTTACTCAACTTCTAAAAACTATTTTTTTTTTTTTGCTTGACACCAAACATGATTAAGAATGAAAGCGCAAAAGATACATTAAACTACTCTGCCCATCTTGCCTGGGATTGGTCTTGAAGAGAGGGTTACTATCTGTATACAACACTGTTAAAAATCAGGCCCCGGATTATTTCCCACCTCTAACTTGACAGCTGAGGAAAGATGACCTGCCTTAACAACTGCATTATAATAAGTTAAAATCTTCATGTTAAAGTTACCCTTTTCCAGTTATTAATTTCAACCAAAATAATTTCTTCCAACTACCAAATATATGAGGAGGGGATATGGAGTTGGGTCATCACTGTGTTTCTAACACAAAATTGTCAAAATGTTGCCATTTTGTTCTTGCAAGCTGACCTACATTTTTGTCGGTTGCCGCATAACTGATTCTATCGCACTTTAAAATGTGTATTGTATGCCTTCTTAGGCAGATAGTTTTGATATATTTTTGTGACACATGGGTCTATGTTTACGTGGAGTGAGAATCTCAGGAAGAAAGTCATTTAAGGTGTTTTGTGATTAATTCTGCTATCTTGGCAATTTCCCACAAGAAATAATTTTTTGACCTACTAAGATCTAAACGTTTATTAATTGCTGCCAAATACACAAAGTGATTTCTAACATCAATGAAATATATAAGAATGGCGGGTACAGTAGATGATCAGCAACAAAACAGTCACTGAACCCTTGATTGCCCATTAAACTTTATATGTAGCTGCATTGCCATAGATACTTATTTCCATTCAGTTAATACTCTTTAAAGTATTGGCTTTTTTTCAGAACCCTTCGGTAATTTTTTGGTATGAAATGGCTCTTATCTGAAACTTGTTTTGTAAGTAGAAAATATTTGAATCCAGCATATAACTTACTATTTTTGGAGACATGAAAAATTATTTTTCAAAGTCTTTGAAAAGATTTTTTTTAATATTGTAAAAGGGAATCTCTAATTTGTATATAAAATATTACATCCAATTTGAATGTATATATTTTGTTGTAGGAAGGAAAGAGAAGTGATATAAACACCAAGTAAAATTTTCCTGACTTAGGACTTTATGTATTTCCTTTTAAAAACAAAAAACAGCTGCAAGATGCTATCTGTTCAAAGGTGATCAGTTAAAGATTTTTTTTCTTAAACTTCTGTGGGAAAGTTGTTAACCATGACAGATGTGAAAAGTGCCAAAATAGATCGGCCAGCATTGATCTTTGATTTTATTTTATTTTTTCTGGGGTGGGAGGGGGAATTGTTTTGCCATTAGTATGGAAGGTGGATGTTTTAACCTATCTGTCATCTTCTGCAGTTTGAAGAAAATCTGGTTTATATCCCTTTTTTTCCATCACTCTCTGGTTAAATTGTAGCTTTCAATGTATTGTACTTTTATGTTCTTGGATTCAAAATGTTAATTTGTCTTCCAGTTTCTGATATCTTAAATAGAGCAAAAATTCAAATATGAATTATTTTGTCTCCTCTCTTAATGAAAGAGTGCTAATCCTTCAAAAAAAATTATACACTTCCTGAGTTACAATGCGTCGATTTATTTTTAATATTTTTTTCTTTACAAAGCAATAATCAGTTTTTAACAGCTAGATCAAACTGGCAACGATAAATACAGTTTTTCTAATAATGGATCAATTGTGCAAAACCTTTCCAGCAGTGAGAGTCACATTTAACTGCCAAGCCTGAGGGATGCATCTAATTAGTATATTAAATTATGAAGGATTTTAATCTGAGAGAGAGTTTATTCATAGAGCTTCTTGATGTCTAGCTTTTTCTTGAAGGTGGCCATACTTGTTATGGAATAATTATATTTTATATAGTACTCATCACTCCTCCCTCCCCAGATACAGCAGCCAAAGCATTGAATTGCAATAAAATTGCTGACAGTGTTATGGGGTTTTTTAAAAAGTTGGTGTCTCTTTAAGCAATAAAATACTGCCCTCTTAAAATAGAAGCAATGAAGGGAGGGCATCTAATTTTAAAGGAAAGACTGAAAGACAAGATAGTATGTGTTGGGCAACATGAATGGTCTGAAACTAGAAAAGCAAAGGTGTTCTTAATAAAATGAGAAGGGATGGAAAGAGTTCTATGCTGCATGGGGGGGCTCACCACAGCTGAAGCATAATCAACTGCTGATCTTGGATGTGATAAGATCTGTGTTGTGAGTAGTATGTAAAAGCACTCTGCCTCATAGTACAAAGTTCAAGATATGGAATCAAAATGTATTCAGAGCCATCATCCTTAAGGCCTTCAAAAACCAGTAGAGCCGATTTAAAGAGACACTGACTAGTAAATTTCAAATGTCAGTTGCAAATATCCTTAGGCATCACATCTGCCCATGAAGACAACTGCCATTTCTGTGCTTTTATAATTTTCCTGTCTTTAAAATGTTTTTATCTCCTCTATTGCTGTGTAGAAAATCCCACACATACAGGAGAAACTATTCTTTTATGTAGAGGAAAAAGTGAAACTAAACGTTGACAATATTTTAGTGTAAATACACAAAGTAAAACTAAAAATGGGAAATTTTATTTTCTCAAATTTTTCATTTATAGTAATTTGGGGTATTACTCAGACAGTAATGTAATTATTTTAAGTTGATGAGTGTTCGCTTTAAACCATTCTGCTCCTTAATAGGCAGCCAATATGACAAATGTAAGGCTGTTATAATATAATTGTGATAGTTTAAATTAGTATGCAGCTCCACTCTGAACAAGCTACATTGTTTTCGGCTGAAACTTAGCCTAATTTGACCCAAATTCACTTAGTTTAGGTGCCCTGAAAAAACATTTTTCATTGAATTTACAATTTACCAAAAAAATTTCACCCAGCTCTAACTGGACACTGTGGAATGAGGTTATATGATGATTCATTTCAAAGCACTGCAGCTATTTTGTTCAGTCACTTTGTTCCAAATTTTCCAAAACCAAAGAATTAAGGATGTTCTCAAGTTTACCACTGTTAGAGTGCACAGATCAGTGATGGGGTGGAGGGGAGGTGTCAACATTTTTATAGTCCCTACCTGTCCTGCTCTAGACTGGAAGAGGGTGAACTCTTTCTTTGGATCATCAAGCATCAGGATGAAATTGGTGATTCAGGCAAACTCTGTTTTCTGGATCTTCAGGGTACCTGTCTGCACAAACAAAATCATGGCATCACAAATGATTACTGCACTTTGCACTACTGGGTCAATACTTCCAATATCAAGCATTTGTTTGTTTTGGCTGCACCATTATTTAGGGTAATTCTAGCAACTGCACTAGGAGATTTACTGTATCTACTCCTTTGATTGGCTTGTGTGAAGGGAGACATTTTTTTGAGGCATTTACATTTAATTGGGACATCTCCCAGGGAACTAATTAAGCTTAGTAATACTAAATAATATTTGATAAGGATAATTCTGCCAAATACAATTTTTTAGGTGTCTTTTGAAATAGCTTTCAGTCCTGTTATGGCTGTGATACATGCAGTGTGTGAAAACTTCAATGGTTTCTGTTCTGATGTGATATTGTCTCTTTCCATGCCACTACATATTGCCACCAGTGCAGCTCCTGGCACTAGGCAGGCAGCAGGCTTAGTCCCTGTCTCATTGTAGACAATGCCTCCCATTCAACTCCTAAATGGGCTTGTCCAGAGACAACAGATTCTGCAGTTCCTCTGACAGCAGCGGCTTTACTAATAAAAAAAAATAGTGTATGCTGTTACTCAAGAGTTCTTAATGGAGACAACAGGTCGTCCAGCAGATGTTCTGATTAAGTGGATTAAAATTAATAAAATATCACCACCTAGCACTTCTGTAGTGCTTTCCATGCATTTGTTTTTCAAATTTCATTTTTTCAGAACATTGAAAATTTGCCAATACATTATTTTGAAAAAACATTAAACCAAAATTTATAGTGTCAACCTTGTTACTGTATAAAATTTTCACCACAATTTTTTTATAAAGTTGTTTTGAACACACAACACTTACTGAGAATGTATGTTCACCAGACTATTAAGCACTGAATAACTAGAGCCCTGCATGGATACAAAATTTGTATCCACATCCGATCTACAAAAATGGTCCGCAAATATAAAGTGGATATCCACAGATTTGCAGAGCTCTAGATACAAAAGTTGTATCTGCATCCGATCCACGATCCGCAAAAATGGTCTGCGGATATGGATCTCCACAGATACAAAGCGGATATCTGTGGATTTGCAGGCTCTAGTAATAACATGCTTTCTGGTCAAAGGCTAAATTAGAAATATTTTTTTAAAAAAAAAGCAGAGCATCAAATGCATTAATGACACATTTCTGACAATCTGAGAAGGGTAAAAAGGGGTTTGTCCTTATTTGCTGCTTTGTGATATATAGATAACCTAAAAAGCTTTTTTCCAAAAGTTTCTCTGTTTTTAATCTCTGGATTGTAGGTGGTATTGTAATTACAGTAATAAAATATACAGTCTTAATACAGTTTTTATGGAATTTCATTAAACCAAATGAATATAAACAGTGATCCCATCCTACCATGGAATCCATCAGTGCAGCACAGTCCCCTTCTATTTCCTGGATATATTATTATTTTAATATCTAAAGAAATTAAACAAACTAGGTTTTAAAGCCAGACACATCATGACATGTCAGAGAACATTAGATACTATCAAGTACTTTAAACATAATTAAGTTGGTATCTTTTTGGAAACTTAACATTTCTTTACTAGTTTTGTACTTTCTGTTGTCAGTTTTTTCACATTCCACCCCATCCCTGCCTGTTGTTTTATGTGTCAAAAGGAAGATTTTTTTGGTTTTTGTCCTTTCTATTCCCTTTCTGTAGTATCTGAGCACCTGCCATGTATGAAAATAGAGAAATATTTTGTCGTTCTTGCTTCAGAGCCTGTAGAATAAATAGCATTATGAGTAGGGCCCTACCAAATTCACGGTTCATTTTGGTCAATTTTAAAAATTGTAAATTTCATTATTTCAGCTATTTAAATCTGAAATTTCACAGTATTGTCATTGTAGGGGTCCTGACCCAAAAAGGAGTTGTGTGGGGGGGTATAGCAAGGTTACTGTAGGGGAGGTTGCGGTACTGCTACGCTTAATTCTGTGCTGTTGCTGGCAGTAGCCCTGCCTTCAGAGCTGGGCAGCTGGAGAGAGCCGCCAGCAGCAGCAGCGCAGAAGTAAGGATGGCATGGTATAGTATTGCCACCCTTACTTCTACACTGCTGTCTGCATAGCTGGGCCCTCAGCCAGCAGCTGCCACTCTCCAGCAACCCAGCTCTGCAGGCAGCAGTGCAAAAGTAAGGATGGCATGGTACAGTAGTGCCACCCTTCCTTCTGTGCTGCCACTGCGGGGGCACTGCCTTCAGAGCTGGGTGCCCGGCCGACAGCTGCCACTCTCCAGACACCGAACTCTGAAGGCAGCACAGAAGTAAGGGTGGCAATACCGTGACCCTCCCTAAAATAACCTTGCAACTCCCTTTTGGGTTAGGACTCCCAATTTGAGAAATGCTGGTCTCCCCTGTGAAATCTGTATTGTATAGGGTAAAAGCACACAAGACCAGATTTAATGGTCCATAATGTGTTTTTCATGGCTGTGAATTTGGTATGGCCCGAATTATGCGTTTATAAGACCTCGTGTGTGTGTGTGTGTGTATTTGACTGTGTGAGAAGAATTTAAGGGAGAGTTATTCTGAAGAAATGAGTTACACGTTCAGTTCTGAAAATGTTAAGGCCTGTGATCATTTCTTTTGTGGGAGTGAGTTCCACAGTTCGGGTCTGGTTTGAAGAAATTCTTTTACTTCCCTGATCATTTATCAACTGCATAAACTATCAAAATTCTTCTGGTAATAGAATTTAATTTGTACTTTCTTTGCTTTCTGAATGGCTGCCTCTGCATTAGCAGAACAAAATTTATTACAGGTTCATAAATGTGTGTAATTTCTTTTAGAGACTTCTTTGCAATAGAATGATAGTTTTAACACTACACATAGATATTTAGAATCTGGAAATCATTCCCCTTCTTGAAGGTAAGTAGTGATTTTTTGATTGACTGTCATTGTGAGCAAAGAATGTCGCTTCCTGTCCTCTTTTATCTCAAAACAAAAGCACAATGTTGAAAGTTAAAAGGATGTCCATAGTTGATCTTATTTTAAATAATTACCCAAAGTAAACTGCACATAGCTGAGAAGTGCATAACCTGTACTTTGATTTCTATGTATTTCAGCATTAGTAGTAAAGCTTGTACCGAGTAAACTATATGATTTTAATAGAAATGTAAGTTATTTAAAGGAACTTTTAAATCTTTATTTTGTAGAATCAACCTCTGAGGAGATTGGACAAAATACAAAAGTGCTCAGGAGCAGGACATATATGAATGACTACAAAAAATATACAACGTTTTCTAGTGAGACATTAAATGCCAAAACTGTTACTGGAAAAAAACCTCCATGCAGAAGTGCTACTTTGGCTGCTAATAAAAATAAGATGATGAGTGATGTAAAGGAAGAGCTCTCCAGCTCAGAAAGTGTGTGCACTGAAAAAAAGAATAGAAAACTGCCTCACCGGACGGTGTCTGCTGCATCCAAGAAAAGGCTAAGGGACAGCTCTAAGGTAGATGCCACTTTCAAGTCTGAACGTGAAAAAGTAAAAGAGCAACATACTAACAGGAAAACACACTCTCAGCCTAATTCAGCTGCTGCTAGAAGAAAATATATTAGAGAGTCTGAAAGGGGAAAATCTGAATCTGAGAAAGAGACCAAGATGACACACAAGAACAGGCATATTAATGACCACAAGCAGCCACACAGAACTGTCCGTGCTGCATCTCTTAAAATGAAAAATTCCACAGTAGAATTTTCAGAGGAGGACTCCAAAAGCCGTAAGTCAGGGGATGGGAGCAGTAAGAAAGCTTCTGACCAGTCAACTTTTGTACGCAAACATCATGCAGTGAGCAACTCTGAGGGTGAGGCAGGTTCTGAATCAGGCAAGTGCAAAGGTAAAAAAACCAAGGTGACCAGTCAAAAGGCTGGGACGTCTTTCAGAAAAGCAAAATTCTTGAATGCCGTAAAGGACACAGAGTCTGAAACAGGAGAGCAGGAAGATGGAAGAAGTTCTTTGTGTCAGCGGACTGCTCCTTCTGAGACTGCAAAGATTGGAAAATCTGGACCTGGTGCCAGTTTAAATTGCTCTTCCAATTTAGAATCTGAAACTGATTCTAGTAACAGTAGCTATAGGAATACCACAAAAACAAAAAAGAGGAAAAGAAAAAGAAAAACGAAAGTAATTAGAAAAGGTAAAATTTCAAATTCAAATGTATCTAAGCCGTCCAGAAGGCCCCAGCGAACAAAACGTCCTAAACTTAATCAAGAAAATGACTCTGACGATGTGGACTATACCAAATATAAAAGAGCAAATCGACGTTCTAAAATAAGAACTAGAAATGGGGGTAGAAGGACTGTGAGATATGATGATGGTGGTGATGATGATGATAGAGGTCTAGATTACATAGATTGTGGAACATAACCTTAAGTGGAAAAGCCAGTCTGCTTTTTTTATGGTAATAGTGCTAGGATTCATGATGAATGCTGGCTCTTCTTTGTCCTACATTTCAGGGAATATATTTATATTTTTCTATGAAAAAGTTATTAATATCAAATCATGACTCTCCTTTTCATATTTTGACTTGCACTTGCCTGCCCATGCAGCAGCATTTAGCACAGATGCCAAAATGTGCCTCATTATAGGGGCAAAATTTTGTCTTTACTGGTATTTTACTACATATAGCAAGAGTTTAAAAAAAGTTAAATACCTGGCAACAGGTTAATAGCAGTATGTTGAGTATTATTATGGGTGCTGCAATGTGCTACTACCTGGGCCTTACAATATAAGTGCATTCAAGAACAGCTGATTTAAACCCCTCTTAATGTTGTATGAAATCTCATACAACAGTAACAGACTTGCAACTATTACTGTACATTATAAAAATAGTGGTGAATGATATTACAAACATCAGAAGTAATAAATGATTTACATTAATAACTTGAATTAGTACATCCTTTAAAATGTACAGTGCTACCACTATTGAAAATACATAACCTGAAAGAACTAGTAATGGAAAAGATATATTTAACAATTTTTAAAAAATGGTATTGGGGAAAAATAGGGGTTTGCTGACAGGTGATACTGTCATTTTTAATATGCGGCTTCCATGCTGTAAATTTGAGACCACAAAATGCAGGTGAACGATTGGGCCTAAGGGTTTGTGTGTGTTATATATATGAAAAGAAACGTGCTGTGTATTTTTTAAAACTTGTGTATTTAAAACTTGTTTATCTTTTAAATGGGTGAAAAGTTTGAGGCTCGGAATATTATTTCAGATTATTTTGCTATGGTTGCCCACCTGCTCCTTCACATTTAAACTTTTTAACTTAAAAGTGCCTCATTATGTTAGATTGCTGATACGTTGATAAACCACACCAAATTCTGATTGTCATCATACAGCACCTACATGCTGATGTTTACGTTGCCATTGTTGAGAACAAAAATAATTAGAACTTATTATAACATATGAGGGAAAGGGAGTTGGACAATTGTTAATGAGATTAATGTACATTTTTCAAACTAAAATGTGTAGTTCTGCATCAGTTTCTGATGCAATTTGCAAAGTGTTCGGGGAGTGGTATTTAAATCTTTCTCACTGGCTTGATAGGTGGCAGTGCAGTAAGAATCTCAGGAAGAAAGATGTTCATGAATCTGCTGATAGCATAAAGACTTTTCTTAATGACAGTTTTATTTCCAGTGGTGCCCCTTCATACCCAAAATTCGTTCAGTTAGTTCAAATCTAGATGTTTTGCTATCAATATTTAACCCTTCACTTTGTTGCCATAGATCAGTGCTGTCCAACCTTTGGGGCTTAAGAATCAAAAATACTATTTCTGTAAGGTCTAGGGACTACAATCAATTTTCTACCATGTTTCTGCTCTTTGCACTGTTCTGGTGGTACAAAGGTAGTGGAAGCCATCCATAAGTCCAACTCCTGGGAATTCTGCCACTGTGGGGGTTGTCCCCCGGGGGCATATGGCACAGATGGATCCTACATCTCTCTCAATGTTCTGTAACTAACCACCTGGTTTGAGGGGTGGGAAAGTGGCTGGAACATTAAGACTCCAACTATTTTAGCTGGCAGCTCATCCCTTGAGAACCACACCAGGTTGGCAAAAGTTGGAGCAGTCCCCAGACTGCTTCAGTCTGCACCATTCCTGAGGCCAGAGCTGTAACTGGTGGTTGGTTTCAACTTTTCTCCCCCTCTCCTACCCTCCCACATTTCCTGAGCTTCCTTGGCTAGTTGTGAGGGAGAAGAGCCGTCCTTTGCTAGGTGCTCCCATAGGATCAGGAACAGGCACAGCTAGTCTATATTAAGCCTAATAGAAATCTAGTTGATACCATTTGTGCCCTAATATTTTGTTCTTTTTCTGATTTGAATATAGCTCTTAATTCAATATATTTTTGTAGAAGTTTGTGGGTTTAAATTGTTCATCTTTCTTTGTCTCTGATTGCTTAAGCAAAGCAAAGATGCCAAAGTATGAACCAGATTGTCTATTGAGATTGTTCACTGTTTTAAGTGTTTTGTATCTAGTAGTTTAGAAATGCCCCTGTCAAAAGGGATAAATGTTTGCTTTATCTGAAAATTAATTGGCTGCATTATTCAGTGGCTGGTTGATTGGGCTGGTAATTAGTGGTTTTTGAAGTGTAATAATTTCGAGTACTGGAGTAAACACTTGAGGATATAAGGGAGCCTCAGAATTCTTGTCATCTAATTGAAGTATAAATTAAGTAGGGCTGTCAGGATTTTTATCTTCAACCTTGGTGTAGGTTCAAATATAGTGCTTTCAAAGGAAGTATACAAATATAGGTTCATAAAACAAGCTAAATGGTTGGGGACAAACTCTGCCCATTGATGCATTCAAAGGGCTCTCATTCTGTGCATGAGAGGGAAAAATTGGCTTGTCTAAAGTACAGTCTTTCATAAGTCAACTTGCATTGTCGATGCTACACACTTACAATATTTGACAATCATTCTCTTATACATACTCTAATCACTGAGAGAAAACAATATTTTATTCTATGTTATCATATGCTCCTGGGCGCTATTTCAGTTTTCTGTGTATAGGCAGGTAGAGGAGGGTTCTGGTTACAACAGGAAGATAAACATTTAAAAGGTAAATGGAATTATTTCTACTGATTCTTATTTAGCAATCTTCTATCTCTTTCTCCCAAAGGCAAATAATTATTCTTTCACAAACATCGTTTGTAGGTGAACTACCAGGCTATTTTTAACTATTTTAAGTCATAACTCCATTCTCAGAAAGCAACTCCCTGCACTGTTGAAGGCTTTATTGATGTAACTCAGCAATTGCAAGAGAGTTGCACAATACACAACTCTGGGCTTGGAAAGTGTGGAGGGGAAGGGAGGAACAGCAGTCCATCCTGTTCTGTGTCAAGTTGTGGGCAGAAGAAAATGTTGGAAATGCTGCTTGGGCAAGTAACAGAACTTGTCCACAGTGTGTAGGAATGTGCTTGGAGGTGGCCCCAGTTAATACCAGCCCATGTGCTACACCCCCCTTTGGGCCATAGTGTGTGTTATAGGGGAAGTGCTCAGCTTCCACCCCACCTCTGCCTCCAAATCTAATTAGAGCATACCCTGTTGTCAGTAGCAAGCATTAACTGATACATTTGTGGATTTGATGTTCCCCCTGTCCAGAGCAGCAACATACTGTACTCCACAATAGGCTATTTCCGCCCACCCTGTGGAATATTTCTCTGGCTGGCAGGTTCCTTGTGAAAGAAGAGGCACTAGGCTGCATCTCTGTTCTGCATTATTCATTGGATAAAACAAGATTGACTGTAAGATTGAACATCTATTATGAATCCAGACATTGAGGGGGGAACGTCAATCTAGTTATTCTGTTGCTACTTGTATACTTTAATATTAAAATAGTGATGAAAGAAGCATGTATATCAACAGAGAAAATAAATACTGCTTTTTCTGGATCCCCAATCTGAGACATTGGGGTGGTGCCTCTTTCTTCAAGCACAGGAGACAGTTAAGACTTGTCCACAGGGCTCGGCCCTGCCTCTGGAGACCAAGTGGCTATTCAACAATCCTATTTTATTTTTTAAAATACTAGTTTCTAAAGCTTATTTTGGGGCAGCAGTAAGCAAAATATTGTCCATCCCCTTTCCTATCCCTTAGGGAAACAAAATTTGTCAGGGTTGTGTTCCCCCAAAGGGAACAGCCTCCCAATTCTTCCTGTTTGGTCCCTCCTCTCATTATGGAAGAGCAGGCCAAAAACCCAAGAAGTGCTAAGAGGAGAAGCAGCAGAAGAGTTCTGACAGCTGCTCACTACCATGGATCTTAAATTTGTCAGTCTGGAGGGCAAGCTAGGACGACATCTCACCTGCTGAGACTTCTTCAGTAACGTCTCTGAAAAGACACGAGGCTCAACAAGTTGGCCGGCCTCAATAGGGTTTGGGGGTTTTTAGATGTAAATCCCCACATTTTCTCCTCCTCCTGGTTTTAATCCATTTCAGAATGGAAAAGCTGTAGGTTTAGGTGAATAATTGTCAGATGGCAAGAATTCTGGCCTGCTGTCTGACTCCTTTAAAAAAAAAAATGCATCTGAGCTTTTACAAGGCTCCACCCCTGCATTTGTTACTAGGGGGGATGTTAAACAGCATCTTCGAGGGATAAACATTTCAAAATCAGCATGCCCAAATAACTTGCATCCAAAAGTGCTAAAAGAGTTGACTGAGGAGATCTCTTGCTTAAGGATGTTAATTCTTATTAAAACCTGGAATACTGGGCAAACTCCAGAAGACTAGCAGAGTGCTAATGTGCCAATATTTAAAAAAGGGCAAGCAGGATGGCCCAAGTAATTACAGGCAGGTGCTTCTGACATCAATCCCAGCCAAAATAGAAAAGCTGACAGGGATTCAATAAATAATGAAGGGATAAGAATACAATTAATGTCGATCAACACCGTTTTATGTATGTTGGTATTATAAGAAATTTCATTTTTTTATGCGATTACAAATTTGGTTGGTAAAGATAAATGCACGGAAGTAAAATACTTTGTTTTCTAAGGCTTTTCATATAGTACACAACATTCTGATTATAGATAGCACTGTACAATATAAATAATGCACACGTTAAATGGATTGAAAACTCTCTAATTGACAGACCTTAAAAAGTAATTATTGAATGCGTGTGTTACTAGGGTGGTTCTTCAGGGATCTGTTCAATATTTTGATTAGTGATCAAGAAGTAAATATAAAATCATCGCTGATTAAAACCTGTGGATGACACAGATTAGAGTTGTAAATGATTATGATGGAGCAGTCATAAAGTGATCTGGATTGCTTGGTAAGCTGGGCCCATTAAAACAAAATATTTTAATACAATCAAATGCAAGGGTCATATAGCTAGGAATAAAAATACAGGTCATACTTACAGAAACAGGGAC